AAAATTCTTGGATTTTCCATCAAAAAAAAATTATATTAATAAAATGATGCATCAACTTTTCATACATTTATTGAACAAAGTCATCATAAAAATATTTGAATGCCTTAAATGAGTACAAAGGTTATAAACCTTTATTTTCATGCCTAGTAAATTGTAATGATATTTTAAGTGATCCAAGACATCAGTTTAAAGACATAAAACTTATTAAGACATTACTTCTAATGTTAAATGCAGAAGAGATTAGTACCATGTTGGCTTAAAACAGGTTTTTAAATTAATAATTGAGATTTTTTCCAAGTATATGTTTTATCTATATCACTAAGTCATGATTTATGGATATGAAAGTACATGTGATTTGTCAAGGTTGCGAATCAAAATATCACGTGATTGGTCAATATAAATTGATCAATCAAATCAACAAAGTTTTTAAGGTCCAAATAGTATTACAAATTGTTAATCAATTAGTTGATAAAGTACTGTATTTTATTCAACTATCGATTTTATTTGATTAACCGATTTAATTGTAGGAGTTAATAATAATAAGGTATGAAAAAAAGCTTAATCTCAAATATTACTACCAAAATAGCTAGGCGAGAAACACAAGCTGAAACAAAACTGGTAGTTAGAAAAAAAACTCGAAACCTCAAAAAAACAAATTGAGCAACATTTTAGACTTTTGATAATAAAATCTGCTTTGCCTTGTCACTTAATAAAAGATTTATTAGATTTTGAGCAAAGATGTTTTGGTTTATTTTATCTGTTATATCAATTGCTAAAATTATCATGCTAAGATTATCGCTAAAATTAACTCATGAAGAATAATGAAATTTGCTCTTTACAATAATAAAAAAACACTTTTGCATAGTAAATTAACGCCATAACCAAAAATTTCACGATCTTAGCAGCTTTGATTACTTCTTGAGTTGATATTGTTTCATTTTTATTTCTTGGATATTTGATAATTTCAATAGTTGTAGGAGTAAAGATTATAGCTGTAATTCAATGTATTCAATCAAAAAGATTTGAATCTGAAATTCATTAACTCTAGTCCCTAGTTTAATTTACCTGGCTTGTCTTGACTAATAATTATTGCAGATACTATCAATAAAAGTGCAATAGTTGTAAAAACTTGGATGAGAAAATCGATAATGCAATTCATTTTGTAAACTTTAAAAGTTGATAACGGGAGTTGAATATTTAATTTCTATGAAATCAAAACGCGTATTAATCAGACTTAAATATATTAATATGTTAACAGATCACGTGTACGAACTGTTACAGTAATTCTATTTTTATTTGGGTGTTTCTAAAATTTCCTCGGAGCAAGACTTGGGTTCATCAACATCCGAATATAATTTTAATTTATCTTCGAACGTCTGATATTTTAGCCATCGCTTTTCTCTGTTGACATCAAAGTAACGTCTCCTCTTGTTCCATCTTACGACAATGTTATAGGTCAATCTCATCAATCCTATCCATCGCTTCAGTAACTGTTTCTGAGCATGATTCAGGTACGTCCTTATGTTCAACGTTCGGATCACGTTCTCGTCTCTTTTTATTTTCTTGGATTTCTTGACTGTCGATATCTTTTTTCTTTTCTTTCCTTTCTCTTCGATATCGAGCTGCTCTTCGTCCTGGCATCCTGCAGATGAAGACGGTGTTGATGACAAGGATATCCTGGGAGAGCTCGTGTTCATCGGAGTTTGACTCGTTGAAGAGAACCATGAGCCTCGTACCGTGAATCGAGAAGACGTGTTGGACGAGTTCGAAGGCGAACCTACAGAGTCTGTCATGTTGGGTAACCACAACCTCCGAGACAAGTCCCTTGCATGATCGTTCCAATAGGGTCTTAAGCCCAGGTCTCTTGAAGTTGATGCCTGAACCGATATCACAGACGAGCTCGTGTTCTGGGTATCTTGAGACGAGGAGTTGTTTTTGTCTTTCGAGGTCTTCCCTTTGCTTGACGCTCGAGACGCGTGCGTAGACGTAATTCTTCTTGGTGGTGGTGACGGTGGCGGAGGTATCATCTCGTTCCTCAGGAAAGTACTTTGAGACTTCGTACAATCTTGTTCCTGATTCTGATGTTTTGAAATTTATCTTTCCCTGCTTTGACCAGCGACGTAACGTATGCGCTGATACTCCGAGTTTTTTTGTCGCCTTATGAGCAGACAAGTAAATAAAACTTTACTTCTTTTATATTTAATTCAATATGTGTTGATAGACACACGTTTATGTGGTAATGATGATCACATAATGTTACATAATTTATTTATGTTTCAAATAGCGATGCATATCAAAGGATTATATTATATTAATAATCAAACAAGTGTATCGGTAATATATTTTTTTTTCGCTGTTATTTATCTAAATAGTATGCTGTTGGATTTTCTTTCATCTTCATATCTAGAAGATACAGTCGTCAAAAAATTTTCATAAATAATGCCAAGTGTTTGTTCAACATACACTTTAAATAAATTTCTATCCAGCAAAAACCATTTAATCATGATCATTTTTATTTATTTATGTCAAGAATAAATCTTTATTTTATAGTTAAATTATAACTAATATTCATATCGATATATTTTTATACTGAAAATCCATTAAGTCCGTCATGTGACATCCCAGGTCCCTGGCCCCGCGGTGTAGGACCTACTTAAACCCTTCGGTCCGCAGTTCCCTAATTTCACATGACCCACAAGCCGGATCGTCTTTTTATACTTTGTCCTATTACTATATTAGTCCTGCTGGGTTCCTCAATGTTAACGTCATTTGTTGACAGATTTTATCTTTTCTGATTGTTCCCGACAATTGTGGCTAGGGCGGCGAACTATACGTACGAATCTTGTTCTTTCTTAAAACGGAAGGACCCTCTCAAAGATCGTATCCAATCGTGGCCCCGGCAAAGTTGTCTGACACCCAGTGGGACTCGAACTTGCGACCTTGCGATTGTGACCCGGGAGTGCTAACCACTGCACTATCGACCCGCGGGTCGTGAATTTACAATTAAATTTAAATAATTAAAACCGGTTCCATCTTACACAATACTTTCAGGTTCCGTGTATGTTTTCGTCATGGTGAGTGAAACATGACGGTGGGACCTGAATGATTAACATGCTAATCACTTAAAACATACCGCAGTTATTAAAGATTATTGGCTAGAAAGTTAAAGACTCTTGTGATGTTTAATTTACAATCGATATATTAGATATGTTTGACGTATTTCTTTTTAATGAATTATTTACAAATAAATTTATTTATTTATTTTTAAACCAAAATAACATCATTTACGAAATAAAAAAAATAGATCAAATTATTTTTTTATAAAATTATCATCAGTTATGAGATCACAAATCACTAGAGAGTCAGTGAGATCTAACTTCCTTGCGCCATAATCATTTTTGTCCAAAACTTTAATCTCTTCAGATATATCTTGTAATTTTGCAAGAATCTGTTTATCATCCGGATTTGAATTTAAAAATTGGTCATCTGATACCATCAGGGTCGGTAAATTCCCATTTTTTGCAACAAATAATGGTTTAATATGATATACGTAAAACTGCAACAACTCCAAAGGACCAAATTTATTTAATTCTGTGATAATCTGTTCATCATCTTGCCATTTCTTAAAAACTTCACAGAGTTCCTTTGCTGATGGACGATGTTCTGGATCTTGATCCCAACAACGCTTCATCAAGTTCACATAACATCGAGGTGCATCTTTGTTGATGAGTGGTCGATACCCAAAAACTATTTCACGTGCTTGATTTTGGTATTTGTCTAAATCATATAAGCATGTCACGGGTATACCATATAAAATCTCCCACATGATCATTCCGAACGAATAAATATCTGACGCAATCGTATACGGCTGTCTCATTAAAACTTCTGGCGCAATGTAAGGTAATACCCCGTAAACTTGTCCATCGTTTTTTTTTCAGATACTGAACCGAAAGACCCAAATCCGCGATATACGCGCTTTTCAAGATATCTTGCAAGATATTCCCGCTGTGCAAATCCCGATGCACGATTCCTTGCGAATGGATCGCTTTGAGGTCAAAAGATATACTCAATAACAAATTAAATTTATTTTTCCAGTTCATTATTGCAATTTCACAAATATTCCGCCTCAAAGAACCTATCGCCGCATATTTCAATATAATTATATATTTCCCATTTTTATTTCTTGATATGCCATGGCATTTCATAAAAGATGGATTTTCAACTCCGATTTCACAATAGTTTTTTAACTCATCCAAATAATCAGTTCCATGAAATTCTTTAAGTGCAATAGTCAAATTTTCATTAAGCAAATCACCCTCTTCATAAGTATTTTCTTGATACTTTCTTAGCCATCGTGCACAATAGATAAACGAGAAACCACCTTTTCCGATGTTTTCGATATCATTAAATTCGTTGTATGGAATCCATGTTAATTGATATATTTCATTATCTAAAAGCATTTTAATATCTTTATCAATATCAAGATTTTTATATTCTGATTTGAAAAATCGATGAAAGTTTTTTCTCTCTTCTAGGAACCAGTAGTTTGCCTTCTGTATATCTTGTTGGGTTCCGAGACCGTTTCGATAGCATTCACCAACACGTAACATCGCATCATAATTCCCCATTTTTGCAGCTTGTTGAAAATATAAAAATGCTTTATTGTTATCTTCAGATAAATAATAAACTCCAACACGAAATATACCATAGGCACTCCCTATATCTGCAGATTTTTTATAGTAAATTAACGCCTCATGTTCATTCTTCTCGACTCCGATTCCATTTGTATAACAATTGCCAACACCATTTGTTCCATTAACATTTCCCATCTCTGCTGATTTTTGATAATATTTGAAAGCCTTTTGTTCGTCCTTCTCTACTCCATACCCATATTGATAACAACAACCAACATTATATGTTCCACCAGCATCACCCATTTCATCAGATTTTTGATAATACTTGAAGGCATTATACTCGTTCTTTTCAGTTCCAAACCCATGAAGATAACAATATCCGACATTACTTAATCCACCAGCATGGCCCAAATCTGCTGATTTTTGATAATATTTAAAAGCCTTGTATTCATCCTTCTCGACTCCGATTCCATTCTGATAACAATGACCAACATCAAATATTCCTTCAGCATGTCCCATCTCTTCTAATTTTTGATAATAAATAAATGCCTTACGTTCATCCTTCTCGACTCCGATTCCATTCTGATAACAATGACCAACTTGATGTGTTCCATTAACATTTCCCATCTCAGCTAATTTTTGATAATAAATAAATGCCTTACGTTCATCCTTCTCGACTCCGATTCCATTCTGATAACACTGATTAAGATTAAACATTCCATTACCATTACCCAGATCTGCTGATTTTTGATAATATTTGAAAGCCTTGTGTTCATCCTTCTCGACCCCGATTCCAGTCTCATAAAAGATACCAACATTACATGCACCCATATCATTCCCCATATCTGCAGATTTTTTAAAATATTCGAACGCCTTTTGATCATCCTTTTCTACTCCAATTCCATTTTGATAAAAATATCCAACATTATAGATTCCTCCAACATGTCCCATGTTTGCTGATTTTTGTTTATAAATAAATGCCTTATTATCATCCTTTTCAACTGCAATTCCATAATAATAATGATATGCAACTTTAAATGCTCCTTCAGGATCGCCCATATCTGCAGATTTTTGATAATGTACGAATGACTTATGTACATCCTTTTCTACTCCAAACCCTTTCTCATAGCATAGCCCAACATTATACATTCCACTAGCATGACCCATACCAGCCGCTTTTACAAATTGGATGAATGCTTTATATTCATTCTTTTCAACTCCGTCACCTGTAAGATAGCGTTTACCAAGATTAAATTCTTTTCCGGAATCTTCCATAGGAATTATACGTAGTTTTTTTTGTATCCTTAGACGAAACCACTCGAGTAACCTATATTTTCGAATTAAAAACCATTCGATTTTTATACCTTTTTACGAAAAGATGAAGCATGCAAAATACAAACATTGGTTATTCAATTTTACCTTTTATAAACATGCATGAATATAAAGCCAATTTACTGTTTTTATAAATTTTACATTTTTGTTCAGATGCCCAGTGCCACGTACTGTACTATACGTATTGTACAGTCGACTCACGATAATCTGGATTTTTATGTTGCACATTTATCATATTAAGAATAATTCGGATAATCGAAAATTCGGATAACCATGTATTAGACTTTATATAACATGGTCATCCGAATTTTCGATCATCCGAAGTTTTATATAAAT